CATCATACCAATTGGCTTGGTGAACTCACGGGTGAGTCAGCTTGGAGGCGGATCAGAAAGCAGCTGGGGTAGTCTGGAGGAGACCAAAAAGAAGCAAAGGAGGGGTAGCACCACAACGCAAGATCGGCGGCGGCTGCGAATGACAGCCCCCGCCTGGCGTCATGAAAATGTTGTGTCTGAACTGCTGGGGTCTGGGGTGGCCCGAGGCAGTTCGAGAATTATGTAGCCTATGTGAGCTACATAGTCCATGGGTGGTCTTCCTCTCGGAGACCAGGTTTTTTAGCGATCGGGTGGATGGTTTGGTGCCGACGCTAGGCATGGCTGCTGGCTTTGGAGTAGGGACCTACGGTCGGGGAGGTGGCCTTGCTTTACTCTGGAGCCGGGAAGTGTCAGTGCAACTGGAGAGCTACGACAAGATGCACATTGACGTCACTGTCCAGCTGGCATCACCGCGGCTGCAGTGGCGTTTTACAGGCTTTTATAGCGAATCTAGAAGAGAGCTAAGGTATCGAAGCTGGGATTTGTTGAAACTGTTGGGTACACAAAGTAATCTCCCGTGGATTTGTGCGGGAGATTTTAACGAAGCCTTGCGAGCTGAGAAACAGATTGGGGGTCAAGGGAGATCAGAGCGGCAGATGGAGGGCTTCCGAGAAGCTGTACAAACTTGCGGCCTGGTTGATCTTGGTTTCATTGGGCTCCCATATACGTGGGACAATAGGCAGCATGGTGACGCAAACATAAAGGCCCGCTTGGATAGGGGATTGGCAACTGCGGATTTCCTGGACCTGTTCCATTCAGTTAAGGTGTGGCATGTACAAACCACTGAATCGGACCACTGTTACCTAGTGATCGAATGTTCTCACGGCGGAAGAGGGAGACGAAGAAGAAAGGGTTTCCGATACGAGAATATGTGGAGGCGTGATCCTTCGTATAACACCATGGTTGACTCGGCTTGGAGCTGTTCAGGCAACCCCACGTCACTGGACCAGTCGACAGAAAATCTGGGGACCGTCTCTAGCTCCTTATCGACGTGGGCTCAGACCACCTTTGGTTCGGTCAGAAAGGAGATGCAGTGGTTGTGCACCGAACTGGAGAATGTGCGCAGAAATTCCTTGCACTCGGGGCCATCAGTGCGAGAGAAGCAACTAATGTCGAGGATGTCAGAGTTACTATCACGGGAGGAAATCATGATGAAACAGAGGTCCCGAATCGATTGGTTGAAAAAGGAGACCGCAATACTGCGTTCTTCCATGCAAGGGCGCGAGAAAGATCACATGTTACTCGCATTTCAGTCTTGCGAAGGATGGATGGATCTCTAGCTACCAATCAAGAGGAGTTGGAGACAGAAGCTCTGGAGTTTTACTCCAGGCTATTTACGCGCCAGGAGATGCTGGACTGATGGGACAGAACGTTGCCCAAGATCAGGAACACGACGTCGCCGGAGTACCGCTGGAGCGCGATCACCAGCCGCCGGTGCGCAGTCACCGGGAACGAGAGCTGAGTAGTTGCAAACACGAACACGAGAAGAATAGATTTGTGCCGCCAGATATCGCAGCGCTTTCGGTCCTTTATTCATGCCTTTTATACATATGATGCATGACCTGATCTTGGGCACAGGCGCCCGCGATCCCCGCGCCACGCCACGCATTGTGTGCGCGCCGTTTCACCGCGACACGCACCACGTGCGCAATACTCGCCGTGGCGCCAACTAACCGACCAACTCGGGCTGGATCACGATCTAGCATGCCACCGATCATGTCCATCCCCTATATAGCTGAACTATGACTCAATTGGACAAAAGATTACATATGCGTGCTCTAGTTTAGCTAACAAACTCCCCCTAAACTTGATGCACCTTCATGATGCCCAGCGCTTGTCGAAGCTCCAGAAACCTCACCCTTCCCAAAGCTTTGGTGAATATATCAGCGAGCTGCTCTTCAGTCCTGATATGATCTATCTCCACCTTGCCTTGCTCAATGCACTCACGAATGAAGTGATACCTTGTATCTATGTGTTTGCTTCTATCGTGATACACTGGATTCTTACTTAGGGCGATGGCCGACATGTTGTCCATCAACAGCTTCACTGGCATCTCCTTTGTTCCCATCAAATCACCGATCAACCGACTAAGCCACACACCCTGACATGCTGCTGCTGCTGCCGCCACATACTCAGCTTCACAAGATGAAAGAGCAACTATCTTCTGTGTCTGTGAAGCCCAGGTGACCAAACTATTCCCAAGGAAATAAACAACTCCAGTGGTACTTTTCCTGTCCTCGGTGTCACCTGCATAGTCACTGTCACTATATCCAAGCAAGAGGGGTTTTAGTGCAGTCCCACGATCATACCTGCAGCCAAACTTGACTGTACCTTTCAAGTACCTGAGAATGTGTTTCACAGCAGCCCAGTGTTGCTTAGTTGGAGCTTCCATATATCTACTAGCTACACCAACCGAATATGCAAGATCTGGTCTGGTGTTTACTATATACCTCAAGCTCCCAATAATACTTCTATATGTTGTAGGATTCACCACCTCATCTTCTACTGCTCTTGTGAGTTTGAGTCTTGCCTCCATTGGAGTAGCACATGGATTGCAGTTCATCATTCGTGCATTTTCCAAGATTTTCAGTGCATAAGCACTCTGACTCAATGTGATCTCATCACTTCCTTGCTTCACTTCGATTCCCAAGTAATAGCTCAAAAGTCCCAAGTCACTCATGCTGAATTTTTTCCGCATCTCCTGCTTGAATTGCACTATGTCACTGACATGTGGCCCTGAGATTACTAGATCATCAACATAAACACCCACAATTAAGAATGATCTTTTGCCGGTTCTCCTGTATACAGCATGCTCAATTTTACTTCTCACAAAGCCAAGGTTCAACAACTCCTTATCAAGTTTAAAATTCCAGGCCCTTGGTGCTTGCCTCAGCCCATAAAGTGCTTTTCTCAATTTCAACACTTTGTCACCTTTGCCAATCATAAAACCAGGAGGTTGCTGCACAAACACTGTCTCAGTCAGGTCTCCATTCAGAAAAGCGGATTTCACATCCATATGGTGTACCTGCCAACCTCCTTGTGCTGCTAGCGCTAGCAAAACCCTCATTGTTTCAATTCTGGCCACAGGAGCAAAAACCTCATCGAAATCGACACCTTGCTACTGAGCATAACCCTTAGCCACTAACCTTGCTTTGTGTTTTACTACTTTTCCTTTCGGGTTTTTTTTCACTTTGAAAACCCACTTAAGGCCAATTGCCCTCTGTCTTGCTGGCAGATCAGACACCTCCCAGGTTCTGTTCTCCTCTATCGCCTACATTTCAACATGGCTTGCCTCCAGCACTGTTCCTTTATAGCCTCTTCCACCGATCTAGGCTCTTCTGCAGCAACCAAGCATAACCCACTGTACTCCATATCATGAATTTCTTCTGTGGTGTCAAGCAAATTTGGAATGGTCCTATATCGCCTAGGCCCTCCATCTGAATCTGCAGAGGCGTCTGATGGTGGTGATGCCCATTGAATTTGTGATGTAGGTGGTGTTGTTCCTTGATTGCCCGCGATGGGAGTGTGAGGTGGTGTATGTGGACTCCCCTCACCATCTTCGAGTGGAATTGTTGCAGCAGGTGGGGTCGGTGCACCATCAACGAATGAATCAGCGCCCGGAGCTGAATCGCTGCCCGTTGTCGGACAATGAACAGTGTCAGTATCGGGGTACTGAACGCTGAATGTGCTGGGTGTTGCCGCTCCACCACTAGAGCTGCTGGCTTTCTCCCCCCCCCAATTCCACGGCTTCTTTTCATCAAAGACCACGTCCCTCGACAACATGAGCTTCTCATTAACAGGATAAAACACCCTATACCCTTTTGTTCCTGGTTCATACCCAAGAAACACTCCCAGGATGGATCTGTCAGCCAACTTAGTTACCCCGGTCCATTGCGCTTGGCATAAGCAACACAGCCAAAAGTACGCAAATGTCGAGCACTCGGTTTTCGCCCAAACCAAGCTCCAAACGGAGTCTTCTGATTCAGACTTTTAGTTGGTGATCTATTCAAGATATACACCGCCATCTTTACTGCCTCCCCCCAGAACTTGCTCGGTGCCTGCATTGACTTGAGAAGACAACGAACTATCTCTACAACTGTCTGGTTTCGTCGCTCAACAACGCCATTCCGTTGAGGCGAGTATGGCATGGTTGTATAATGCTTTATGCCCTTCTCACTGCAAAAAGCAATCACCGCGGCTGAATTGAATTCACCACCTCGATCTGATCTGAATGCTTTCAGGCGACGGCCAGACTCCACCTCAACCGCCACCACAATCTTTTTCAGACACCCAAGTGCCTCATCTTTGGATGTCAACAGCTCTAGCCACATGTAGCGACTAAAATCATCAACAACAAGCAGAAAGTATGCTTTGCCACGCGTGATCTGACCGCAAAGGTCACTATGCACCATTTCAAGCCTGGCTGATGCTCTATATGCCGACGCCTGTGGAAACGGTGCCCGGTGTTGCTTCCCCAGAGCACACCCATCACATACCTGTTATGTTCGCTTGATCAGAGGTATCCCTACCATCATCTTGATGCCAAGATCATGCAGCGCCCTAAAGTTTAGATGCCCATATCTGGCATGCCACAGCCATGCAGCCTCCTCCAACTTGGTCAGCAGGCACAATGGAGCAGTGAGGTTTAGCTTTAACACATACAATCGATTTCTCCTCTCTGCCCGTATCAGAACACCACGCTGCTTGTATGTAGGCCAGCTATTCTCGAACACCTCCATGACGCCATGATCTATCTTGACCCGGCATCCAACTTCTTCTAACTGATCGAGGCTTACAATATTGCACTTAAGAGATGGAATGTAATATACCTCAGTGAGAACCCGATGATCCTCATTCTTCCCGGCGATGGTCACAGCTCCTATGCCTTGTATCTCCACCATGGATCCATCACCAAAGCAAATAGCTCCTCGCATTGACTCATCCAGGCTGGTCAGTGCCTTTCAGCAGCTGGTCATATGGTTTGTGGCACCGGTGTCTAGTATCCACGCCCCGTTCTTATATTCTGCCAGAAACACACGTTCTTGATTCAAGAACGCACGCTGATCTTCTGCTATCAGTGTCCTCGCCACCATGCAAACTTGAGCCACCAGGAGCGCCCCAACTTCAACATCGCCATTGGCGTGATGGGTTGCTTCCTGTCGTTCCTTCTTTTCTTTCGTCTTGTACTCTTTTGCAAAGTGCCCGTAGATGCCACATTTGTTGCACTTGCCTTTCCGCCGTGGTGTGCCCATCGACGTGAGTTGTCTTCCTCCGGAGTCACACGCACCGCCGCTGCCACGCGCCCCAGACTTCTCCTTCTTGACATAGTGCCCGCCACTCTTTCCGCTGGATGTCGAGGACGACTCCGACTGCATGCGGCTCTTATTCCTAGTCATCCACTCCTCCTTTGTTAACATGAGCTTGCCAGTTTTCACCATGACTTGTTCCACCGAGGGTTCGAACCTATCCTCCGCCGCCCGAAGTAGCGATCTTCGTGATGCGCATTGCAAATTCATCAATGGCCTCTCCCGGCTTGAACTCAATGGACTTGAATTCAGCCAGCAACTTCTAGGCATTCACCTCCTTGACACGATCTGCCCCGAGCCTCATTGTCTTGATTGCCTCCCAAGCCTCCTTCACAGTCTTCTTGTTCAAGAGCATCGAGTGCATCGAGTGCGGAACGCCACGCAGCATGGCCCCTAGGGCCAATCGATCTCGCCGCCGCTCCACCTTGTCAGGGTCAGATGTGACCGCATCCCAGAGGAACATACCCTCTAGATTGCACTGAATGTGCGACGACCACTCTTGATAATTTGTTCGGGAGAGCATTGGCCACACCAAATTGCCAGCGGCCTGATTGAATGCCTGATCCATGGACTCTTTCTCGCCAGAAGTGCCCATCTCGACGATATTGGGGTTCAGAGCACCTCCTCCTCCGAATTGGTGATCTAGGTCACCTGACGTGCTCTACTACTCCTCTCCACCGGCGAACACCTCTGCCTCCGACCAACCTTGGCTCCGATACCACTTGATGGGACAAAACGTTGCCCAAGATTAGGAACACGATGTCGCCGGAGTACCGCTGGAGCGCGATCACCAGCCGCCGATGCGCAGTCACCGGGAACGAGAGCTGAGTAGTTGCAAACACGAACACGAGAAGAATAGATTTGTGCCGCCAGATATCACAGCGCTTTCGGTCCTTTATTCATGCCTTTTATACATATGATGCATGACCTGATCTTGGGCACAGGCGCCCGCGATCCCCGCGCCACGCCGCGCATTGTGTGATCGCCGTTTCACCGCGACACGCACCGCGTGCGCAATACTCGCCGTGGCGCCAACTAACCGACCGACTCGGGCTGGATCACGATCTAGCACGCCACCGATCGTGTGCATCCCCTATCTAGCTGAATTATGACTCAATTGGACAAAAGATTACATATGCGTGCTCTAGTTTAGCTAACATGGACCCGGGTCCAATCCTGGAGCACGTTCCCGCAAAGGTGACACCCCAAATGAATGATTCTCTGCTAAGACCCTTCACAGGGGAGGAAGTGCGGGACGCAGTGTTCATGATGGGTGCAAGTAATGCCCCGGGACCGGATGGCCTAACGGCCGGCTTCTATCAGCACCACTGGGAATTGTTGGGTCCAGGAGTGACAACAGCGGTGTTGGATTTTCTAGATGGGGGTGTAAAGCCAGAATCGATTAATAGGACGACAATCGTCCTAATCCCAAAGATTAAGTTTCCCGCAGGATATGAAGAATTTCAGACCAATCTCCCTGTGCAATGTGATATACAAAATCTGCTCAAAGGTGTTGGCGAATAGATTGCGGGGTTTAATGGATGAAACTGTTGCAGAGGAACAGAGTGCTTTTGTGCCGGACTATGTGTTAGTGGCATACGAATGCACTCACTATCTGCAAAGGAAGAAAGGCAAAACAGGAGCATGTGCAATTAAGCTTGACATGGCTAAGGCGTATGACCATGTTGAGTGGAAATACCTGAGGGAAATTATGCTGAAATTGGGATTCCATGAAGGTTTTGTCTCTCTGATAATGAGATGTGTAACTTCAGTTTCTTTCTCAATTAAAGTGAATGGAGTTCTTACAGAGAGTTTCAGGCCTTCGCGTGGTATCCGCCAAGGCGATCCTATATCGCCCAATCTCTTCTTACTTTGTGCGGAGGGGCTGTCTTGTTTGCTCAAATCTGTTGGTCCAGTGCACTTATCCAGAGGTGTTCGCGTGGGTGCTCCCTGGGTATCGCATCTTCTCTTTGTGGATGATTGCATCGTTTTCTCAGAAGCGTCGCAGAGGGGGGCCGCCAGAATACAAATGATCCTTGATATTTATAGTCGGGGATCAGGACAGCTTGTTAACAGAGAAAAATCGGCAGTTTTCTTCAGTAAAAATTGCCTAGAAGAAACAAAGGACATGGTGCGGCAGGAGCTTCACATTGAGACTGAGGCATTGGCTGACAAGTATCTGGGATTACCAACTGCTGTGGGTCGGTCCAATGCTGAAACCTTCGAGTATATGCCTGCAAGAATCAAGGGCATCATTGGTTCCTGGAGTGGCAGGGCAGCGAGCAGTGAGGGGCGGGAGGTCCTGCTCAAATCAGTTGCTCAGGCGGTACCAACCTACTCTATGAGCTGCTTCCTCCTCTCCAAGATCACGTGCAAGAAGATGAGAGCGGCAATGATGAATTTTTGGTGGGGAGGATCGGCTGACAACCGACGCATCCATTGGCTTCGTTGGGACCGGCTTACCCACCATAAATCACAAGGAGGTATGGGTTTCAGGGACTTGCACTTATTTAACAAAGCTCTGCTGGGTAAGCAAGGATGGCGACTGTCCACTAGGCCTGAAAGCTTATGTGGCCGAGTCCTGAAGGGCCGCTATTTCCATGATATTGATTTTATGCGGAGCACTCGGAAGAAACACGCCAGCCAAACATGGAGAGTTATTCTGGCTGGGAAAGAGGTGTTACAAAAGGGCATGATTAAGAGGATCGGTGATGGCTCCTCGACAAACATATGGTCTGACAGATGGATTCCGAAACACTTTGATGCTCGACCGCTGACACCGAGGGACGGCCATGTAGTCTCTCTGGTGTCGGACCTGGTGGCGGCGTCGGGGCAGTGGAATGAACAGCTGATCCGGGAGACCTTTATACCGGTTGATGCAGCGGCGATCCTTCGTATACCGCTGAGGTCGAATGAGGATGATTGGTGGGCATGGGAGCCTGAAAAGCATGGTGAATACTCGGTGAAAACGGCCTACAGAAAGCTAGCTGACGCACAGCAGCAAGGCATGCCATCAGCGCCGGGAGGTTCAGATGATGCTTCATGGAACCGAATTTGGAAACTCAATGTCCCCCCGAAGGTTGAAGTGTTTTGGTGGAGAGTTCTCCATGAATTCCTACCAGCCAAACCGGTGCTATATCAGCGCCATATCGAGCTGACGGCTTTCTGTGATCTGTGTGGAGCGGAGCAGGAGTCCATCCAACATATTTTGATTCACTGCACAGTGGCGAGGGTGTTTTGGAGGGAGTTCAGAACTGTATCAGGTCTGAAACTATTGGGCGTCCGACATCCTGCGTCCTGATGTTTGCTCGGAGAAGGACAGGAACCTCATCATCATCGTCATGTATTCACTGTGGCTCCAAAGGAACCAACGCCGGCACGGCGAGCAACAGGTGCCGATCAGAGCAATGGTGCAGTGGTCAGTGGATACGGCCTATGATCTGTGGCAGATTTCTCAGGCCAAGAAGGCAACCAAACCGGGTGATACTAGGCAAACTTGGAAGACACCACCGACGGGTTGGTACAAATGCAACGTGGATGCTGCCTTCTATGCTGATGCTGGCCAGGGGGCGACGGGAGCTGCTCTTAGGGGTTCGGCTGGAAACTTTATAGCAGGTCGGGCTCGCTGGTACCCCCATGGCATAGACGCGCTAATGATGGAAACCCTTGCCTGCAGGGATGGCATGGTACTAGCGAGAGACAACAGCGTGGAAAGACTGCAGCTCGAAACTGATTGTCAGGAGCTGGCCGTCCTGTGGTCAAGGAAAACATACAAAAGGTCGTACCTGGCAGCGATCTTCAGAGATATTGAGGAGATTAGTGTAAATTTTATTGATTTTAGTTTGATGTATGCCAATCGATCTTGTAACCGCGTCGCTCATATGTTAGCAAAGCAAGTCACGGAAGACATCAGGTTGGGTGAGTGGCATTCAGCCCCAACTTGCATTGATCTCCTGCTGACTGAAGATTGTAATCCGGTGACACATCGTTGAATCAATGAAAGTCCTTAATCACAAAAAAAAAAAGACTAAGCTGAATAGAAATTCCTAAATAAAGTCAAAATCCTATTGTAACGTGTAGTATGCTCCAATTCTAAATAGACCTACACACGGAACCTCAGCTATTCATATTCGATCCTTAGAAAAAGACAACTAAATATTCTTGCGTGAGAAAAAAAACAAGTTTCACCTTGCAAAAAAAAGGAAAAAAGAAGTTTCAATAATGAAAAGCAATCCGTATAGAATACTATAAAAGTATTCACAAGCCTGTATAAATATCGGACATTACGGAGCAAATCAAAACTTCAAATATTTGCTTCTCCTCACGAAGACGACAACCTACACCTTGCAAAGAAGCAACTCGCCGTTTTTAAACCAAAAAAATATGCTACATGCTGCAACCTATGGCTCTCAGGTTTTTCTCTTGCCACGCTCGTACCGTCAACTTCAGATATGTTCTGTGACAAACTTTTTTTCAAGCCTGATAATAGACACAATATTAAAAGAAGCTCCCATATTCGCAGAGAGCATCTAGAAGTTATGAAATTAATCGAAAAAACAGTAGATTATACGAAATTGAATTTTATGATAAACTGACGGTCTATATATTTTATTTAATGATAAAGAGAGTAACTAAAAAATAATATGTACCATTAGATTTTATGAAGCTCTAAGGGTCTACATTAAATATATATTAGTTAGAACTAGAATTTATTAATTAGAAAAAATCTCAATCCAGATAAGAAAAACACGACTCTTATATATACCTAATTAATGTATATCTCACCACATGACGTGAAGTTGTTTATCAATAGGAGTTCTAATCCGATTCCATGGTTTGATGAATACAATGCTCTCAAAAAAATATAAAAATATATCTTGCAATCCCTATCAAAGGCTGCCATGTAAAAAAGAGAGAAGTCTTTTATCATAATCATTGGTAGATAGATCAAATCCGTGACGTATCCACAATTTTTATTTGGGAAGAACAAGCCAGGTTTTTTCTCGGAGAGCACCAAGCATGTGTTGAGTAGTGTATATGGTGTGTGTGAGAGTTGTGCTTGATAGGCGTGTTCCGAGTATGCTCGACCATTCTCGTCCGTGTTTAATGTGTGGTCACCATGGGTGCCCACTTAAGTTCTTGTATGATATATGCCAGTGCTCCTAATATTTTTTTTAAAGAGAGATCAGTCCATGTGTTGGTAACAAACTCTCTACTAACTTTAATTAGAGACTATAGTCATAATTTACTATAAATGATTGATGTTTTTTTTCTCCGTTACAATGTATAGGTATATTTGCTAGTTTAAATATAAATAGTAAAATATGGTCAATAAGATGTACTGTAATTGACAACTAAGTACCCACCCCTTCCTTTTCTTCTCTCTCCGTAGGACCTGGCGTCATGTAGGGGTAAATGGTGGGCCATTCTGTTGCTGCTTTTGAGGCAGGGTCGCGGTCTCCAACATTGGTGCAGGGGGCGAGGTGGGGTTGCTCGTGGGTCAGACGGTTTCAAGGCACAGGATCGCGGTCTCCAACACTAGGACCGGAGAGAGATGCGGCGTGTGGGACTCGGGGCGCGGCGATGCACTCACTCGGGGGCGTCCCCAACAACTACCTACTTACGTGGACAAGAAAAAAATTTAAAAGATTAGTCACCGATGACAAACAAATAACTGATCTATTTTACGTAGTCTAAAAAATGAGAGAGGAGTATATGGGTTCAATAGTACATAGAAAAATAAAAATATATAAAATAGTATTTATTTTTATCTCTCACCTCCACGTAAGATGACTATGTAGCTAGCACCATTGAGACGCCCTCACGTGCAAGCGCGATCGTCCATGATGGATCCGACGCCTTGGATGAAGATAGTGTTCAAGCTGATCTATAAGCCACTTGTGCTGATTTGTTGGGAGAGAAAAAATATTATACCATGGCATTAGAGCAGACGAACAACCCCGAAGTAAAGAGGGCGCTGATCGAGAAACACTTGAGTATGATATAGATTTATCGTATTATAACACGTACACTTCCTCTGTCCGCTCACTTGAATACGATCCGATACTTTTTCTAATAATGAAAGAAATGTCCAATTTCATCCTTAAGATGAGGAATCAGACTAACTTATTAAAAAGGTATCACACCACAAGATCGTATCAATTCTACAAAACAAACTGACTCAAAACTTGATTTTAACAATAAAAGGGTCATGCAATGGACGTCAAAAAGCATATGATGTGATTGGTTCCATGTTTTTCGCCTGACCTAGGGGGTGTTTAGTTGGGCAAACTTTGCGGCAAACTTTGCATAGTGAAGATTTCCTACTGTAGTATTTCGTTTGTATTTGTGAATTATTGTCCAAACATTGACTAATTAGGCTCAAAAGATTCGTCTCGCAAAGTTAAAGCAAATTGTGCAATTATTTTTTGATTTCGTCTACATTTAGTACTCCATGCATGTATCGTAAGTTTGATGTGACAGGAAACCTTATTTTTGCATAGTGCACTTTTCAGGAGTTTGATGAACTAAACAAAGGCCTAGCCAACGGGGTGCACTAGGATCCACATGTTTGGATGCCTGGCCATCTACTTTCCTTAGGCTTGGACCCTGTTGTTCAAAAGCGCCCACTGATTCTGGTTCCTAGGAAACGAAAGTCGTTTCTGTTTCTCATCAGCCTAGCTCACGCGGGCATGAGGAGAGCGCATAACAGAGCAAGCAACGACGCGTAGGAGCGTTAGTGTTGCCGCCTATTCTGTGCCATCTGCGTGTACCTTGAGCCGCCATTGTCCCCCATTCGCCCTCTCTCACTCATCTTCTCCTATTTTATCCAAAATAATATTTTTATTGCTAAGATCCTAAGAGCGATAGTTGAGATTTGGTACTCGATGGAATCCAAGATTCTAGCTCCTGATATTCCAATCTGTGAGGGGCTTGAGGATATAACATAAGTTCCCTCTTCTACTGGACACCGAGGAGGAAGGAGACAATGGAGAAGACAATGATGGCGAAGAAGGAAGAAGATGCATGATGACTGTGAGATAATGTACTGAAAATTGTTCTAAGATGAAACTAGCATTGCAAAGTGATTGGAATTATGGCTTAGGGTGATATGCATGTGTTGCTTATATATGCGCTTTGGGCGATATGCATGTGTTGCTTATATATGCTTGTGATGTGGTGATTTTTTTTGCATAATATGCTTGAGGTCTTGTGCAGATTGATTTGAGTCAAGTTGTGGATGTGTGCTCGTAAGCCTACTGCATGTTTGTTTATGTGGAGGTGTTGCTTGAAGCATAACGTGGTCGATGACGCAGTAGAACTAGGTTAGGGAAGGAATTAGGGGTTCGAAACTAAATTTAAGGAGGAACCAAGTCCTATGAACCAAAGAATAATATACGATAAGATAGTCACTTTGTAAGAAGTATTTGAGAGACAATACGATGAGATATTTGTCTTCCCAGTACGGTTTGATTGGTGTCACGTAGGCGTGTGATGGTGGTTCGCTGGTTGCAGCCTGATGATGTGTGAATTGCAAGGTGAGGTAAAACATACGTGCATATCTGCCACCGTAAGGGGCATGTGGGCCCTGTTATTGCGTGAGACACGTGCAATTTGAGATGGACTTCATGATGTGCAGGACATGGACCATGCACATATGCTTTGTATGCCTGCTGTGAGGCATGGGTGGGCCAGTAGTGGGCCTAGGTGATCAGGGGTGAAACCAGAAAAATTGGTCACTGGGGTTGATACTCACAGTACTAAGTCCTAAGTCATATGTTACAATAATCAAGGTTTTCAATTTCTGTATTACAAAAAATTCTGCCACCGTCGAAATTATCGAATTTTATGAAATTCGGCCAAAATTTTTCTAGAGACTAGCACATGAAGTATGTTTTTTCTAAGAATATTTAGATCTAAACAAATATTAGCATGATTTATGACTACACATCTATTGAGTAGAAGAATATACAACATAAACAATAGAAAATATGAGTCTAGAGTTATATAGCACATGTATCAGTGTATTACAAAAATTCAGATTTTCTTTCGGCCACCACCGAAATTCATGAAATTTCACCAAAATTTTGAACCATGACGATAATATATATCATACATAACATCGCAATGATAAAATAACAATTGCATAGTGCGCAGTTACCTCCTATAATTTCCCTCTATGGTTACAATCCTCCATCTTGTGAATGTACTACTTGCCTTTTGAGTTAAGACTGTATAGATGAAAAAAAACAAAAAACCTAAGACTAGACGGAAACACACTTAGGAGAGAAGATGAGCGGAGAGCAACCTTATTGCTATCGCCGGAGCTGCCCACCGTCGCAAGTCGACGGCTCGCCCATCACTGGGATTTAAGTCCGGCCGGCCACCCAACTCAGATCATCACTTCACCACCTGACGGCAAGGAGGATTAGCGATGCGCTGATGGGAGAAGCAGAAAGGATTTGGGATGCAAGCAGCCGAGAATAACGAAGATGAAAAGGGGGCGTGGCAACGTTTGGCATTCAGGCCGGCTGCCTGCCTACCTATACTATTGCTAGCCTAATCACTCATGGGCTATTGCTACTAGGCTGCCAGCCTACCACCGGGGTCCAACAAAAAATTTACCGGGGTCAATACCGGCCAAGAATCGCTAGGTGCAAGCGCGGCAGCAAAACCGTCGGGGTCGACCGACCCCGATGGCTACACGTAGCTTCGCCCCTGTAGGTGATGCATATGCATGATATCCAACGGGCCAATGCACCATTAGTACGTAGCTGGTCAGACTTGGATCGCCTCGAAAAAAAAGTTGGTCGGACTTGGAGATCGATCAGGACTCACGATGGAGGTTAATTCGGCCGCGATGGAGGTTAATTTGGCCAGAAGATTAAAACGCTTTATTTCACCGGATTCCTTTCACCGGTCGGATTCTAATCGACCCCTTATTATTACTAGCGTATATGAGAAGCTTGATCCCTTTTTATCATATCATCAG